CCCCCCTCCCTCTCCTCCCTCTCTCCCACCCACCTCCCCTTCCCTCCCACCCTCCCCTCTCCCTCCCCTTCCCCCTCCCTCCTCTCTCCTCCCCCTCTTCCGGTCACCGGGTACATACCTGTCCTCGTCCGACGTGGCCAGCGGATGGTCCGACTTCCCGACAAGGTAGTTCCCCCTCTCCCTCTCCCCCCATCCCTCCTCCTCTCCCCTCTCCCTCTCCTTTCCCTCCCCCCCTTCATCCCTCCTCCCCCCCTCTCCCCCCTCCACCTCCTTTCCCTCTCCCCTCCTTCGGTCACCGGGTACGTACCTGTCCCTGTCCGACGTGGCCAGCGGATGGTCCGACTTCCCGACAAGGTAGTTCCACCCTCCTCTCCTCTCCCCCTATCCCTCCCTCCTCTCCCCTCTCCCCTCTCCGCCTCCCCCCTCTCCCCCTCCCTCCCTCTCCTCCTTCTCCCCTCCCCCCCTCTCCCCCACCACCCACCCTCCTTCTCCCTCTCTCCCTCCTTCGGTCACCGGGTAGTACCTGTCCTCGTCCGACGTGGCCAGCGGATGGTCCGACTTCCCGACAAGGTAGTTCCCCCCCCCTCCTCCTCTCCCCCCCATCCTCCCTCCTCTCCCCCCTCTCCCCTCTCCGCCTCCCTCTCCCTCTCCCTCCCCTTCCATCCCTCCCTCTCCTCCCTCCCACCCACCACCTCCTCCTTCTCCCTCTCTCCCTCCTTCGGTCACCGGGGGTACTACCTGTCCTCGTCCGACGTGGCCAGCGGATGGTCCGACTTCCCGACAAGGTAGTAATTGCTCCCTTCTTTCCACACGCCCAGACACACCAGCTCCTCGACTGAAAAAAAGGGAGAAGGGGGTTCATTAGCGCTGCTTCTCTGGAGTCGATGCATGCTTTGAGTGTGTGGGGGGAAGGGGGGGGGGGGAGGGTGAGTGTGTTTGTGTGGAGAGGGGGGTTGAGTGTGTGTGTGTGTGGGGAGGAAGTGTGGGGTGAGTGTGGTGTGTGTGGGGGGTAAGTGTGTGTGTGGGGGGGGGTGAGAGGGTGAGTGTGTGGGCGGGTGAGTGAGTGTGTGTGTGGGGGGGTAAGTGTGGAGAGGGGGGTTGAGTGTGTGTGTGTGTGTGGGAGCGTGAGTGTGTGTGTGGGGAAGGGTGTGTGTGTGTAAGTGGGGGGGGTAAGTGTGGAGAGGGGGGTGAGTGTGTGTATGTGGGGGAGGGTGAGTGTGTGTGTGGAGGGGGTAAGTGTGGAGAGGGGTTGAGTGTGTGTGTGTGGGGGGGGGGGGGGGTAAGTGAGTGAGTGTGCGTTCATGTGTGCGTTCGTGCGTGCGTTTGAGTGCAGATAAAAAACAATAACGTATAGACTGCTAAAACATTTCACCTTCGACAACATCTATCACAGTAAAGCAATCACCTCGGATCCTTCTACCGCACAATCCATCTCTCCACTAACCAATCCTACTACCCTTACATTCTAATATCCACATATCCATACATCCTTATATCCTAATATCCCAACATCCTACATCTTATATCCTAATGTCCACACATCTTACATCCTTATAATCCTAATGTCCAACATCCAACACATACATCCTTATATCATCTTATATCCATATGCATCATAATCCATACATCCTTAAATCTTAATATCCACACATCCTTACATCCTCCTAAACCTACACACCCTTACATCCTAATGTCCACCACTTACACCTAATACCCGCATATCCTTACAATCCATACACCTTATATCCTAATATCACACATCCTTAATATCCGCACACTTTAATCATCCAATATCCACACATCCTTATATCCTAATATCCACACATCCTTACAACCTAATATCCACACACCCTTACATCCTAATATCAACACATCCTTACATCCACACATCCTTATATCCTAATATCCACAAACCGTTTATATCCTAAATACCCCACACATCCTTATATCCACACACCTTTACTCCTAATATCCACACATCCTAATACCCTCATACCTCACGAACGTTCACACCAAGCCAACGAACGGGGAACACAACGCACTGGAAGAGACACAGAGGGGGGGGGGGTAAGAGAAGGGGCCAGGGGGGGGGAGTTGAACGTTCATTTACACCGATAGAACTACAAAGGAACACTATAACAAGAGATTCACAAAGGGGGATGTTATACAGGGGGAGAACAACAAAGGGCGGGACTGAATAGAAAATGGTATAGAAGAACTTTATATACACTGTAAGCATAGCAAAATACTGGGAGAGAGAGTCTTGTCTGTTGTTTATGGAGGTTTATTATTTAATATTATGGAGTTATTTATTTATTTATTCATTTATATATAATATATTTATTTATTTATTTATTTATTAATTATATATACATATTTATTTACTTATTTATTCTATTTATTATTTTATTTTTTTTGGGGTAAAGAGGTGGAGGGGAGGGGGGGGGGGTGTAAGGAGTACCTTTAGGATACTTTTAGTTCAGGAAGAGGAAACAAGAGGTTTCAAAGTCAAAGTCAAAATACTTTATTTTTTTTGGACGGTGGTTTTAGGTCACAGAAAGGAGGAGGGGGAGGAGGAGGGGGGAGGAGGAAGGGAGGAGGGAGGGAGGAGGAGGGAGAGGAGGAGGAGGAAGAAGAAAAGGAAGAGGAAGAGGAGTCCGGAGGAGGGAGGAAGAGGAGGAGGAGGAAGAAGGAGAAAAGAAGAGGATGAAGACGAATTAGAAAAAGAGTAAAGGGGATAGAGGAGGAGGAGGAAGGAGGAATGAAGAACAAGAATAAGAAGGAGGAGGAGAAGGAGGAAAGGATGAATAGGAGGAGGATGACAGTGGAATGAAGAAGAGGAGTAAAGAGGTGAGGAAAAGGCAGAAGAAGAAGAAGAGCAAGAGAAGAAAAAGAAAAAACGAAAAGGCCAAAGAAAAAGAAAAGAAAAAATAGAGCAAGACAAAGTATAAGGAAAAGAAGGGAAAAAAGGACCAGACGACGAAGAGAAAGAAACAGACACGCACCGAAGAAAGCAAGGGACAAGTAAACCGACAGAGAGCTAGCGAGGGCGTGTCCACCACATGCAAACAGATCCCAAATACCCGAGAGCTTGCAAGCATAAGAGAAGCACAGTGCATGCATAACCAGAGTTCGACTATGCATGTGAAAGGAGCCTCTATGCAGGTGCTTGAAAAGGGGGTTTGAAAGACATTTAGTATGCGAAGAGGGTTGGAATATTGGAATCTATAGTGCCTGTCTACCTATATCAATATCTATCAGTATTTGTTTAACTATTTGTTCATATCTGCCTTTATATGTATATAAGCTTTAGTTATCAATATCTATATATTGATCTATCTATCTATTCAATATACTTATCTATAGAGAGAGAGAGAGGGAGAGAGAGAGAGAGAGAGAGATGAGAGAGAGAGAGAGAGAGAGAGAGAGAGAGAGAGAGAGAGAGATGAGAGAGAGAGAGAAGAGAAGAGAGGAGAGAGAGAGAGAAGAGAGAGAGAGAGGGGAGGCGAGAGGAGAGCAGAGAGAGAGAGAAGAGAGAAGAGAGAGAGAGAGAGAGAGAGAGAGAGAGAGAGAGAAGGAAGAGAGAAGAGGGAGGAGAAGAGAAGAGAAGAGGAAGGAGAGAGAAAAGAAAAGAGGGGAAAGAGAAAGAAGAAAAGAAAAAAGAGAAAGAGAGAAGAGAGAAGAAGAGAAAGAGAAGGAGAAAGAGAAAGAGAAAGAGAAAAAGAGAAAGAGAAAGAAAAAAGAGAAAGAAAAGATAAAGAGAGAGAAAGAAGAAAGAGAAAGAGAAGAGAGAAATAGAGAAAGAAAGAAAGAGAAAGAAAGAAGAAAGAGAGACAGCCAGCCAGCAGACAGAGAAGGAGAAACAGAACTCCCCCCCAAACCAAAGCGACCCTGGGCCCCGCACACGACGACACTCACTGGTGCTCTCCGTCCCCTGTATATCCGGACAAGCCTGGTAGCGGAACAGCATCCTCCAGTCCTCGGTGCAGGAGTCGACGGTGCTCCTCGGGAACTCGCAGTCGGCGTGACCCAGGTTGTAGGTGAAGGTGTAGTGTGGGGGAACGGGCAGGGACGGGGGACGCTTCACCGGATCATGCGAGTGCAGGACCGCGTCACCGTGAGCGCGAGCAGGCTTCGTCCAGGTGATGAGGTTATGATTCAGGCTTCATCCAGAGTCTTGTCGTTGTCGCAGTACGCTGGAAAAGGAGGAGGAGGTCGTCGTTGAGAAAGAGATTATTGGGAAAACATATACTAATATCTATCGTAAAAGTGATGATTGTGATGATAATAATGTCAATGGTGATGAGGGTATGATCCAGGCTTCATCCAGGGTCTTGTCGTTGCCCGCAGTAGCTGGAAAAGGAGGAGGAGGCAGTTGTTGAGGGATGGATTATTGGGAAAACTTATACTAACATCTATCGTAAATGTGATGATTATGATGATAATAATCCAGGGTCGCAGTACGCTGGAAGAGGAGGTCGTCGTTAATCTTGGGACTAATATTAATATCTATCGTAAAAGTGATGATAATGATGATTGTGATGATAATAATGTCAATGGTGATAAGGGCATGATCCAGGCTTCATCCAGGGTCTTGTCGTTGTCGCAGTACGCTGGAAGAAGAGGAGGCAGTCGTTGATAAAGTGATTATTGGGAAAACTTTACTAATATTCTATCGTAAAAGTGATGATTGTGATGATATAACCCAGGTCTGTCGTCGCAGTACGCTGGAAGATGAGGAGGGTTCGTCGTTAATTAAGTGATTATTGGGAAACACAAATATCTATTCGTAAAAAGTGATGATATGATCGATTGTGATGATAATGTCAATGGTGATAATGGTATGATCCAGGCTTCATCCAGGGTCTTGTCGTTGTCGCAGTACGCTGGAAAAGGAGGTGTCGTTTGAAAGGGATTATTAGGAAACTTTATTCTAATATCTATAGTTATGTGATGATAATGATGATTGTGATGATAATAATGTCAATGGTGATAAGGGCATGATCCAGGCTTCATCCAGGGTCTTGTCGTTGTCGCAGTACGCGGAAGAGGAGGCAGTCGTTGTTATGAGTGATTATTGGGAAAACTTTATACTAATATCTATCGTAAAAGTGATGATAATGATGATTGTGATGATAATAATGTCAATGGTGATAAGGGTATATGATATTGATATTATGATGAAATATCTGATGATTATGTTATTATTATATCATGATTATTGCAGTGATTATTAGGTGTCGAATTTTCAGCTTTTTCCCACCTAATATAGATGAAAAAACACAACCAACTAAAACATGAACATCACATAAAAACAACAAAATAAATATAATTAATTGTAAAATAATTCAACCTCAATTTACTTAATCTCACAATACAACACAAACACACCACATTCCCTCTCACTCGTCTATCATCGTATTAACTTCTACATACAACACGCGTAGTGTAAGTGACGCAGCCAAATCATATCATTAATCACATAAAAGAAATCATAAAGGTAAGACGAACACAACTCCTTTAATTACTTATGGAGTGTGAAACGGCCTCTCCTAATCTGAAGTAACCCATTAAAAGTTTTAAAGCACCATTCACCTCCAAAGACTGTCAAGATGGCGTTGTTTCGGATCCTCTCCTTCTTTCACCCTCGCTTTATGGAGCTCTTTTGTCGCCTTGTCGCTCTTTCCCCCATTTTCGTCGTCTTGACAACCAGACGGTGTTTGTGTTTGCGACGGGGGGGGGGGGGGGGGGTGAGGGGTGTCTTGCTTTGTCTTTGGCTTTTCATTCCTTCGTCTTTTTGTCTTTGGCTTTCATTCCTTCGTCTGCTTTTCTTTGGCTTTTCATTTCTTCGTGTCTTTGCTTTCATTTGTCTCGTCTTCTTTGTCTTTGGCTTTCATTCATTCGTCTTTGGCTTGCACTTTGGCTTTCATTCCTTCGTCTGCTTTGTCTTTGGCTTTCCATTTTGTCTTTGGCTTTCATTCCTTCGTCTGCTTTGTCTTTGGCTTTCATTCCTTGCTTGGCATTCCCTTTCGTCTTGTCTTTGGCTTTCATTCTTCTTCGTCTTCTTTGTCTTTGGCTTTCATTCCTTCGTCTTCTTTGTCTTTGGCTTTCATTCCTTCGTCTTTGGCTTCGTCTGCTTTGTCTTTGGCTTTCATTCCTTCGTCTTTTTTGTCTTTGGCTTTCCATTCTTCGCTGCTTTGGTTTTGGTCATTCCTTCGTCTGTCTTTGGGCTTCATTCCTTCGTCTTCTTTGTCTTGGCTTTCATTCCTTCGTCTTCTTTGCTTTCATTCCTTCGTCTCCTTTGTCTTTGGCTTTCATTCCTTCGTCTGCTTTGGCCGGGGAGAGGCTCGCGTGCCAAGGTCGTCTGCGTGATCCGTCGGTCTTTGAAGGGCCTTCGCAGCCTCTAATTTCCTCGGATAGCGGTGTCCTCCATATGTTTTTAAAAGGCCGTCTGATTGACCTCATTTCAGGCTTTGATTCTATAGGGTCGCCGGGGGAACGCTTTTCGGGCTCGGTCTCTCGTCCAAATAACCTCTGGAATCGATCTAGAGACCTCGGGAACGGCCGGGAATCGCTCTGCCACGGCGCCCCGAGTGAGACTAAAGAGAGGGAGGGACGGTTGGCATTCGCTGAACAAACTCCTGCCGTGAACAAGGTACGAAAGTTGACGAGGTGGGCGTGCGTTCGAGGATGAACATAATATGCATTGGACTATCGGGTACGGCGGCCCAATACAGAGCTTGATAAATAGCCTCGCGTTCCCTTTGCGTTAGCCGAGCGGATATGGAGCCGAGTACGAATGGAAACAAACAAACTCATAAAACAAAAGACAAAAACGAGCAAAAAAAAAAGTGTTCCCCTTCGCGCTCACCCCCGCTGCTGACACTCCGAGGACGACCTCTTCAAGGAACACCTCCGCCTCTCCCGTCCTCGACCGCACGAAGCCCGTCCGAGGAAGAGGCCGCGCGCTTTCGACGAGTTCGTACGGCCGTTGCAAGTAGTTACGGCGGCATATCTTGCAATGGTGCAATGTTCGGGCCGGAATGGAGTCCCATGAGGTGAGGCGGGGGGAGGGGGTGGAAGGGGGAGGGGGGAGGGAGTGGAATGGAGCGGGGGGTGGAAGGGAGCGGGGGGAGGGGGTGGAAGGGAGCGGGGGAAGGGGGTAGGGAGGGGAGGGGCGGGGCGGGGGGGAGAGGGATGGGGGAGGGAGTAGAAGGGGTAGAAGGGGCGGGGGGAGGGTATAGAGGAGCGGGTGGAGGGTGGAAGGAGACGGGGGGAGGGGGTGAAAGGGGCGAGGGGGGATCGACCTGGCTTCCCCCGCGCGGCTGACACTCCATCATGACCCGGGCATTACTTCACGGCCGCCTTTACTGCCCCGAGGAGATAAAGCGCACTCGTTTTAGGGGGCGTCAAGGGGGACTCGGCCTCACGCGGCCAATGGAAGGCACTTCGCACCCACTGATATGTGTGTATATCTAATTATTTATATATATATATATA